AACATATATATATATATATATATATAAGAAAAAAAAAACAAAAAAAAACACAGACTGTTGCCTATTAATTTGAACCATTAAAATTACTATTCAAGAGCTTTGGTTCAGTAGGTTTGTTTTGAGAAATCATTACTTTTATTCAGCAAGGACACATTAAACTGCAGTGACAGTAAAGACATTTATAATGGTAGAGTTTTTTGGTTTAAAAATAAATTCTGTTTCTTTTCAACTTTCTATTCACCAAAGAATGACAAAATTTACCATTGTTTCCACAAAAATATTAATCATCATGAATATTTTCAACATGATGATAATATGAAATGTTTCTTGAGCAACAAATCAGCATATTAGAATGATTTGTGAAGAATCACATGACACTGAAGACTGGACTAATTTGACTGTTTTTACTGTATTTTTGATCAAATACCAACACCAATCCCAGACGTTTGAATTCTAGTGTACATATTTTAATGTACCTAATCTCAATCCTATGAAATGTTCATCATTCTTTGTTCCTGAAAATACTAAGCAGTGTCATTTCATGTATACAAGTTCGACTTTAAACTGTCATTTCCAATGTTATATAAAAACGACTTAGTAAAATATTTAGTAAACTGCTGAAACTGAAATAAGTAAATTCCAGGTTTTACATGAATATCTGTAAGTCAACATTACCGCTTGATTTCATCCTCCATCTCCTTGGTTTTTCCTTCCAGTCGGCTGATGGTTTCACGGCAAGAATCAAGTTCCATATTCAGGGCAGATCTCTCACTGGTCAGCTCCTCAACACGGGATATAAGAGCCTTACGAGCAGTATCCACCATTTCACTGAAACAGAGACAAAAAGACAAATTAAATGGTCGATATGGGTCATGGCTCATTCAAGACTCAACATTGACAATAAACAGATTGATATATAAAACTGTATTCTATCTTACTGAGTGTGTTTTAGTTCTTCATATTGAGAAAGAATCTGCTCAAACTGGCCTGTGCTATCTGCAAACAAAACAAAAACACAAAGATTCAAGCACACAACCCAGCCATTATTTAGACTGTGATGATTCTATATTAAGTAAAGCATAATGTATAATCAGTTGGTTATTAGTGCTAAATCCATTAAAATAAACAAGGGGTCTTGAAATGATCCTGAAATGGTTTATTTTACAAAAATGGCCAGCTGACTGTACATTTTAATGCTTATTACAAGGCTGTACCAAAAAATTAAATGAATGGACATGACATATGTATTAAATATTAGCTTGAGGTGAAATTATTTTATTATATGAAAAGAAAGTAACAGCGGAGTGATAAATTAAACTAGCACAGTGTAGGAGAGCAACGGTCAAATTTACAGTTTAGTGGTCACTACACAACAATATTTGATCACAGCTGCATTTGACCAATCAGAACCAAGTGTTCCAGAGACTTGTATAATAAATGCATTTAGCATCAGAGCAAAGATTTGATAATCAGTTTCTCTGGTGTTGCAGCCTGAAGTAATACGATTTGAATGAAAACAGTTTTGTTTTTTTTGGTTAATATTGATTTTATGCTTTTCTTTTCCCTGTTCCTTCGTTGAAATGTAAATTTCTTCTAAACAACACACATACATTCAAATTAAATACATGATCGTACCTCTGACACTGGCCCCCTGGTCAACATTTTCCACATATTCCCTGCTGAGTTCAGATAACTCTGAAAACACAGAGTCTGTATTCCTCAACTCCCACTCCAAGCAATCAGAGTCACTGTCCATGTCTTCCTCCTCTGTTTTTTCTCCATCTTCCACCTTCTGGTCTTCAACCACCTCTCTCTTATCCTCCTGGGCTTGTTTCATTTCATCAAACAAACTGGAGTTTAATTCAGAGGTGGCTGTCTTTGAACAAACAGGGGAGCTGGAGAGAGACAGATCAACAGAAAAGACAACAGAAAGATAACACATGTTTATGGGAAATACATTCGTTATTTGTATAGGGAAATACAATCAAATATCATCAAATATAACTCAGATTGTATTTCTTCCCTTTTTTCCGTGAAGGAAAAAAATGACAATGAATCATCTAACATGACTTAAAAATAAACCAAATAAAAGAACATCAACAGGATGTTACACACATTAACAGAAATACAAACTCCCACTCACTTCCTGGAGAAAAAGAAAAAAAAGAAAATCAGAAAGCTTTTGATATGAAGTTACTTAAGTCTTAACCCTCTGGTGTTGTTCGGTCATTTTAGACCGGAAAAAAAATGTTTTGAAATGTTAAAAATCTCTACTTCATCGGAATGGTACGAAACTCGATGACTTTTATGGCAGTCACTATGTGACCAAAAAATAGATTAAAAAAATCTTGGACTCAAAAAAGCTAAATGGTTGTAAAAAAAAGTCACACTTGTGTTGTTCGCGGTCAAAAATGACAGTCATTGGAAATAAATGAATGGGAAATACGCAAAAATACGAAAAAATTGTGTGTACAATCTACAAATCATTCATGATGCAGAAAAAAAGTGCACAGCAATGAAGAGGTGACACTCTAAAATATCAAGAGTGCAAAATAGACACACTCATTCACACACTCAAAGCATTCCTGTTCATTTTTGTTACATTTTTGATGTTGTGTGTAACAAAATGTCTTTTTCTGTGTTCAGGTTTGACTGTAGTAAAATTTATGCAAAAATGACAATGAATCATCTAACATGACTTAAAAATAAACCAAATAAAAGAACATCAACAGGATGTTACACACATTAACAGAAATACAAACTCCCACTCACTTCCTGGAGAAAAAGAAAAAAAAGAAAATCAGAAAGCTTTTGATATGAAGTTACTTAAGTCTTAACCCTCTGGTGTTGTTCGGTCATTTTAGACCGGAAAAAAAATGTTTTGAAATGTTAAAAATCTCTACTTCATCGGAATGGTACGAAACTCGATGACTTTTATGACAGTCACTATGTGACCAAAAAATAGATAAAAAAAATCTTGGACTCAAAAAAGCTAAATGGTTGTAAAAAAAAAGTCACACTTGTGTTGTTCGCGGTCAAAAATGACAGTCATTGGAAATAAATGAATGGGAAATACGCAAAAATACGAAAAAATTGTGTGTACAATCTACAAATCATTCATGATGCAGAAAAAAAGTGCACAGCAATGAAGAGGTGACACTCTAAAATATCAAGAGTGCAAAATAGACACACTCATTCACACACTCAAAGCATTCCTGTTCATTTTTGTTACATTTTTGATGTTGTGTGTAACAAAATGTCTTTTTCTGTGTTCAGGTTTGACTGTAGTAAAATTTATGCAAAAACTGACATTTCAAACCAACATTTCAAAAAAAAAAAAAAATCTAAACCTTTACAAAAAGTTGTCTTTGAGAATGTCTAAATATAAATCCTAATCCTCAACTTAATAAAAATTAGTATTTATGTCTAAAAACAACTAGAGAATTTATAAGCCTTTTTATATAGAGCTCTATAGGAATCTAGTGGCTAAACCACGGAATTGCAGATGTTTTTCCGTTTTTTACTCCCACCAGATGGCACTAATCTGCCTTTTTTAAAGGCATTTTAAAGGCATTGTCTCTATTTTAACATGAAATACTGCCATAATTGAAAAGTATGTAATATAAAATTATATTATCCCTTTATTAGGAAAAAAATATCAAAATTTTCAATGGGAAAAAATGTATCATAATTATTTCATAAATATTAATTAGTATCATTAAATTCTCTCAAAATAGAAAATAAAAATCACCACAAAAGCACAGGGTTAAAGCACCTTTACAGTATAAAGAACAACTATGTATTTGATCAAAAAAAGAAAACAAACAACCAATAACTGTTTTCTATTTTAATATATTTTAAAATTACATTTTTCCTGTGATAGCAAAGCTGAATTTTCATATACAGTATTCATATTCAACATTGTCAAAACTGCTACAGTTGGTCTCGGACAAAACAATGAGATATTACAGTCACTCCTTATAAATTTCTGTACCTTGTTTCAACAAAGTCCTTCAAATGAGCCAACTCAGGGGTGGAGCTTATGATGTTACTGATAAAGGACTGATCATTATTATGGTTAACTTCAGCATCAGTCACTTTGCTGTTATTGGTAACGGTAATTTCTGACGCAGTGGAATCAGGGGCACTGCCAGCTTTTGGATCATGCTGTGGAAAGAAGGGGGAGGGAAAGAGATGCTGTTGTGAAAATACAGATATTTATTGTTTTATACTAGGCATTAATGCAAATATATGCAAAGTAATATTTGGAAAGAGCGTAGTTTGTCTCCTCTGAATTACAAATAAATCCACCTCTTCAGTGCTGGAGGTTTCTGTTTGACCGTGCGTAGAAACAGCTTCTGAATGTTTGCTGTGCACATGATTCCTGCAAACATAGTGAATTTCCCTTTGACACATAACAACACTGTAATTTTTAACTTCTCAAATGCAGAAGAAATTATAGTCTTTATTACAAGCTGTTAAGGAAGAAATGTACCACAATATGGGCTTCAATTACCTCAATAAGGGGAAGTGTGTGTTACCTGAAAGTGAAGGCTTCGCTCTCCCACTCCTTTTTCTTTTCCAGCAGATCTCGATGTGTCAGTACTAACTGGATATTAAAAGAGAAGATTTTTTTAACAAATTTAGAAAGAGAAATTTAAAGTAACCAACAAGCTAAAGCTAAACTAAAACAGATGCACTTGAGAGGTGACAGACCTTGTTATGTGTGTGTTTAATGGAGTTTAGCTCTCGTGTCAGATTTGCTTTCTGCTCCTCCAAAGCCATCACTACAAAGAAAAGACCAAGGCCATATATTTAAAACATACATTTATATAGATCGTGCCAATGTGTTACCAGTCTGGACAGGCAGAGAGAGGGCAGAAGGGAGAAAGGTTTTATTCAGAGAGACTCACATTGATCAGCTTGTTCCCTGGCTTTTCTCTCCAGTTCTCTTTCTCTCCTTTCTCTCTCCTTTTCTCTTGCACGCATTGCCCTTCTCTCTTGCTCAAACTGGTCATCCAACTCCAAATAGCGCTGGTACGTAGACAAGTTTAATTTTAAAAGGTATTTACATTTAAAAGGTGCAACTTAGCAATTTCTTTCCTCATTACAAAAGTTGTACACAAAGAGATATGTTTCAAATCATGCACACTCACGAGAGATGACGTCAGTTAAAGGTGGGGTAAGCGATTTTTCAAAAACGCTTTTAGAAAACTAATTTGGTCCGAATAGCAAAACAAACTTGTAGCCAATCAGCAGTAAGGGGCGTGTCTAATCATGATGTGGAGGAGAGAGCGTTCAGTGCACAGCACAGGACAGACATTAGCCGAGCCGAGCGACAGAAAGATTGAGATGGCGGATAAAAAAACAAAAGAGGAAAATGTCTGCGGAACAAAAGAAGGCTTAAAGGGGTCATATGATGCAATTTCAATTTTTCCTTTCTCTTTGGAGTGTTACAAGCTCTTGGTGCATAAAGAAGATCTGTAAAGTTGCAAACACTAAAGTCTCAAAACCAAAGAGATATTCTTTATAAAAGTTGAGTTAACCACACCTACCTAAAACGGCTCGTTCTAACACGCCCCACACGTCTACGTCACGATGTGGGAAGATTTGCATAACACCGCCCAAATGTTCACGCAAAGAAAGAAGGCGTAACTTTTATTCTCACTGTAGTGTTGTTGACGCTGCAGCCATGTCCTGAAGGCGCTGTGTGCTCCGTTGTGAAAGCGAAACTACTTTGTTTGGCCTTCCAAAAGAGGACGATATCTGCTTCGTCATGCCTAGAGCTGATCAAAAGAGGAAAACGTCTGCGGAACGATAAGGCAAGAAGTAGGACCCGTGTAAATATCGGATCAGCTTTCCAGCGCTGGAGAGAACTCAAGGAGCGGAAGGCCTGCGATCGGATGCCGAGGTTGCTTTGTTTCTTCTCGATAGGTGAGTAACACCGTGTCTGCACCACAACAGCTAAAGTCTGTCTAGTACACTGGACGCGACAAAGCGACCGTTGAAAATCATTTGAAATTTGTGTCAATATGTCATAAATAGAACGCAGCAGCAGTTTTCTGTCGGGGATTTGTCGTGTCGTGCCGCATCCAGTGTAGACCATAGATATGTATATATATCTATGGTGTAGACAGCATCACTGATTATAATGAGTTCTATAGTAGTTGGTTTTGCTTTGTTTCACAGAACTAATCGTTGCCTGGGTTGCGTACGTATGTGTGGGGCGGAGCTATCAAAATAGGGGCGAGACCATTTTGGGGTAGGGGCGTGTTTGTTTTGGTGATTTCAAATGTCAACATTGGCTACCAGAAATCGCTTACCCCACCTTTAAGATACATTACTCATGGTTGACTGCAATATAATTTTTTTTTTTTTTTTTTTTACAACTGATCATAATGCCGAATCTGCAATTTTTGTCCCACAAACAAACCAGACATTTACCAGTATTTATACTACAAACCAGTATTTATTGTTTGAATTTCTTTAAAAAAATGACAACATTTAAAAGCTGAGACTTTGTTTCATGCCGGAAGTAACCTGCTCTGTCTTGTCTGTCGGCGCATTGTCAGTTTCCACTTTGCGCCACAATGCATTTTTCACTGCATGAGAACATGTGTGGCGTGAGAGCACCATGGCTTGGAGGACACAACAACAGTAACGAAGTGGGGTGGGTGTTTGCGAAGGGTCAATTACATAGGAAACTGAAAAATTTTGCTTTAGAATATATCTGTATGCATATTGACATGCTGTGGCAATTCAAAGAAGAGCCAAAATTTCAAAATGTTGCAGAAAAGGTCATTCTAAGGTAGTTTTAATAATAAAAATAATAATAACACTTATAAATAGTATTATTGTTAAACCCAACTGAGTTAAATTAATAGGGTTTTAATAATTAAGAATTATAAAATAATAATTGAATTAAATAATATAAGATGTAAATGGATATTTAAAAACACAAAAATCTCAGGAGAATTCAAGTGGGAATGTGACCAATTTGAACAGAACTGATCCAGCTATCCAGCCGGTCATTCCACTCACTGAGCTGCACAGATAGCTTGTCTGTTTTGCAGCATTCATTCGGAGAGCATAGTTTCATTCTGTTTATGGAGTATTAAGCTTCCCATAAACCGATAACTCTACAGCACAGGGGCCCTGAAAGGGCCACTAACTCCCCCTAAGGGTGTCAATATAAAATCCAAAATTACAGTACAGTAATATAACGCACCTGAGTTCACGTTTAAAGTTTAAATATTTTTTGGGGAAAAATATGAAAGTGTTTAAATTGTATATTATTTTTAAGGTTTGAAATTCAAGAGGCTATTCACAAAAGACCTTCAATTCATCACACAGTTGTTTCTCACCTCTTGGCTCTCTCTCCTCAGCGTTTTCTCATTCTGATACCTCTCCAACAGTTCTTCTCTCTCTCCTCTCTCTTTCTCTGCCTCCTCCTCTCTCTCTCTCAGCTGAGCCCTGCAGCTTGCCAGCCCTTCCAGAACCCAGACGAGGATGGGCAGCAGGGACTCCACCACACCAGCTCCATGAGTCTCCACCACCAACTACAAAGAAAAAGTCTGAACTGTATTTGTCTCCAGTGGTGTTCTCCCATCACATTTCATGCTCTTATCTTAGTGGGCAGCTGCACTCACAGGAAGAGTGATGCGCTTGTGAAGGGGTAAAAATACTACGGTTGACTTCCCTTATGAAAAGTCAGCAAAACATCTGCTCTCTGAACTTCACCGTACGCTGTGCTTGAGCAAGTGGCAAATTATAAAAAAAATGCCTCTAAAGGCCCATTCACACCAAGAACAAGAACTATAAAAATAACTATAACGATATTAGTGTTCACACCAACAGATGATAACTTTCTGTTTATTATAAGTGTGCTCTGCAGTTATGTCAAATGCTCAAGCTCCTTAAAGCCAAGTGCATTCTGATTGGCTGTTATCGCTTATTAGCTGGAAAAAGAGTTCTGAATGTGATTCCAACAATATTGTTCCTTCATGTCGTTATCGTTATAGTTGTGGTGTGGACTTTCCTATTCTCAGAATTAGAACAGTTATTAATTCTTTATTCATTACCATGATAGTTATCATGCTTGGTGTGAACAGGCCTTAAAGCTTTAAGGTTGTTTTGATTGGTTGTTGAATAAACGTGGATACTCTTGATTGGTTACCTGCAGCTCCGAGTACAGTTTCCCCGCCTCCTCGCTCACAATATCTGGATCCATCTCCAGTTCTCCACTTCCACAAAGAGCACTTTCACCATAATCCATGTTTCACAGTTCTCCGTTCTCTGACTGGCTTAATATCGCTATAATTTGAATGTACCCCCAGTCTTGCTGCTGAACTTTGCTATTCAACACAAAACTCTTCCTTTTTATCACAGTGTTTTCACTACCTTAAAATGGTTTCAGTGTGTACCCAAACAAACATGAAAATAGTGTGGTAGTGTGTTAGTGACAGCTTGCGCGTACACTACAACATCTCTTCTTGCTCTTATAAATAGCTACGTGAGAAGCAGAACTATTTTCTTAAGCCATTTGGTATTTCCAGTTAATTCCCCCTCTTCCATGCTTCTCGTTTTCTGTTTCACATTCATTCTCAAAAACTAAACTGACTAAAGTCATTGGAGTTAGTCGGCGCTGTTTATGTCTGGAGGTGTTTTGGTGTCCATTCTGGTGGGAAAAAAAGGGTAGAAACATGCGTTAGTACATCTAAACCATTTTGAACAACCTGTCATGCATGCATGCGCTTTTATTAATCCATATTGACAGCAAGACTACATGGACTATTTAAGCGAAACATAAAATGGGGAAACCAGTTACACAGCCTAAAATACTTGCATAAATCTTGTTCATCTTCTTAGTCAACTACTTCAAAACGTGTTAAGCTCAACTATGTTTGGTTGCAGTTTTAGATCGAGTGTTTTAAAACTATCATACAACTTAACTTTTTTGTTGTTAAATTCTGTAATTCACCCAAATATAATGCTTGTTCTTTATATAGATATGTAAATACAGTTTTTTTTATACAGCTTTCTATTGCCACTCTAAGTCTAGTTCACCCTTAATAGTGAATAAGCTAGTGAATAAGTCATTTAATCGGCCAATATAAAACAACGTCATGTCAATTTGTACACATACTGTACACACATGCATACAACACAAGCATATATAAACACACACATATTTAAAGCCCCATGACCACAACACGTCTCTCAGACTTAAAGAAACATTACCGCGTAAATATGAAGCACAAAAATAAACTTTTATATTCAACAGAAAATAAATAAACTTTGCATGACGTCGGCAACACCTTCAACGCTGTCTGCCTGTGCCTGCATTGACACTTGGCCTTTTAGCAGTACATTTCACAAGCAAACGACTATTTATTGTGGTTTAGGCATATTTATCAACTCACCTTTACACATTACTGTGGCTCGGACAGCATTTCTATGAGTTCACACGGATGAAATTCAAGCTCTTCGCGTTAGAAACGATATAAATTACTCTAACCCAGGACCCAGGTTAAGGAAGGAGGCGTGGCTAGAGCGCCAGCAGTTTGAGTGACGTCAGTCTGGACCTATCAAAAAGAAGAGCGCTGAGTAAGAACCAATAATGATGCAGAGGGGGCGGGAGACGGGCGGTGTACGAGAAACGAAAACTTGAACGTTGACACGTGATGGCTCATGCTTATCATGTGACTTCAGGGTAGGCAAAACACACCTGGCGAAATACTTCACATTCCAGTGTGTGTGAGAGGTTTTAGGAGATCAAAGGTCGTACTTGACCGACTTTACCTCCGTTTGCTTTTAGGTTCACGTTCATGTATATTGTGACCTGCGACGCTCCAATAAATAAACTCACCGACTCACTGACACCCGCCTATCAGATTTCACCACATGCTTGACAAGAGGAGACGAAACTGAAAGAGATCTGCTGCTGGCGCCGACTCGAGACGACAATATGGTACACTGCTGGCCCAAATTCAACAATTCTACGTCATGATTTTGAAACGATTTCTTCAATTATTTTAAATTAATTGCAGTAAAACTTTATTTTTATATGAATTAATGGCAAAATGCGGTGTATTTGTCAGTTTATACTTTTTTTGTGCCGACTGCATTTGTTAAGCTAAACCGTTTACTCATTAAAAAAAAATAAAATCTTTTTTTCTTTAATTTATTGGAAATCTGCTTGGGGGGGGGGGGAAAAATATATATATTTGATGATCTGAATCTTTTAAGTGTGACAAATATGCAAACAATTACAAAAACAGGAAGGGGACAAAAACTTTTTCACACCACTGTAATCGTGTATTACACTAGTCTGTGTGTTAATGTGTAACTGGTGAAAATAAAAATGTAAATTGCAGGAAGCTATTTTAATTTTTTTATTATTATTAAAAAAAATGTTAGCAGTGAATTAACAGATTATAAATTATAAACAGATTATAAATTCAGTTTTGTGTGTATCAATAACAAATACTTGCACAGATCCTTTTCTAACAGCCTGATCCACTTCTGTTGTGTTCAGGGTTAAAACTGAATATTTTTTTCATAATCCCAGACATTTTAGGAACATACTATAATTACTTTTTATTTTTTAATTTAATAACTGGGATTTTTTTTAAACAAAAATATTTTTGAATCTAATAATTGAACTACATCCAGTCCATTTCTAAAAGGGTTAACATGCTGCTTGTGCATGTGCATATCATTATTTATAGTCTCATGTTTGAGAATGAGTAAAACTGGCAAAAAAAAGATCTTAAACGATTAAATAATCTTTACTGATCTCATGATGCCAAAAAAGCAATAACAAAAAAAATATATTGTTTGAGGCATATACACTGTGTTCCAAATTATTATGCAAGTGACATTTCAGTACAATAGTACTGAGGATTTCAGTACAATAAACAGTCAGATTTTTGTTTGTTTTGATTTTCACATCATTTCAGGTAACTGGTATCAATCTCAGACAGGTTTGTTCAATAGTTTGCCAGGTCTTCTTAGGTAAATGGAAACCCTACTTAAAGAAGTTGTTCCACATTATTAAGCGAGTCACAGTTCTCATGCAATATGGTGATATTCTGAAGATGAAAAGTATAATAAATAATCATCACTAAAAGCCAGATGATTTTATCTGTAGTGCCCTTTAATTTGGAGCAAGAGAAACTGGGGGGAGTGGCTTTATTGCATCAGAGATATCACTTTTCTTGAAGCTGATTGGTCAAATTTCAGTTTGCAATCTCTAAACTAGAACATAACCTGTCCCGGAGCAGGTTAGCTGTGGATCATAAATTACTATGGTGATGAACACTGCTAAAACCCAAGCCACTTTCATGGTACCTAAAACCCAGGATTGGTGCAAACTAAACTGAAACTTACCTGACCAGTCAGCTAATCCAGCTTCATGGTACAGGCTCCAGGTTTCTCTTTGTGAGGTTTGGTTAGCAGTGACTGAAACGCAGCTTTACACACAACTGCCAGTCTGCATGGAGAGGATCTTGAGACTCCAGTAGCTTCAAACACCTGTTTGCTGCTCAGCAGTGGCTTTTTTTTTACAGCTGCCATTACAATACAATTCATTTGTTTGACAGAAACTTTCCTTAATAAATCTTTATCTGACCAAGATCTGTGCTCTAAGTCACTCACAAATCTTTTGACAGTTCAATAATCACTATTTGCTTTTCGCAAAATATTATTTGTTTTGATACCTTTTGCAAGACATTGCATTGTTTCATACTTTTCATCTTCAGAAAGATCTTTCTTCCTCACCATATTGCAAGAGAACTGTGACTTGCTTAATAATGTGGAACAACTTCTTTAAGTAGGGTTTACATTTACCTAAGAAGACCTGGCAAACTATTGAACAAACCTGTCTGAGATTGATACCAGTTATCTAAAAAGATGTGAAAAACAACACAAACAAAAATCTGACTCTTTATTGTACTGAAATCCTATTGATATGTCACTTGCATAATAATTTGGATCACAGTGTACAGTACTTTCTGTGTCATGTGTAGCCAATCAGCTCAAAGGGGGAATATGCATAATTAATCATAACTAGTTATAATTAATTATAAATATTTAGATACGCTGTAAGTATTTACTTGACCTCGCAGGGTCAACTGTCTGTAAATTCTAAGAACGCTAATTTCCTGGTTAAGGGAAATAACTTTCTTACTGTACAATACTACACAGAGCATGTAGCAAAAATCTGCATTATTAGGGACTGCAATTATGAGCAAACAATGAACAACCTCAGGTGTGATACAAGTAAGACTTTATTAACTACATAAACACTTAAACTAGTCTAACATACACATACACACACACACACACACACACACACCTACAGCCTGAAGGAAACATCAGTTTCTTAGTTCAAACACACCTTTGTAAAAAGGTGCATATGATACTTAATATATAAATTAATTTGTCTTGTCTGTCTGACAGAGAGTCCTGATGCAATCTGAAGGCTCAAGTTAATCTTTGCTGAAGTTGGTTGATGAAAAAGAAACAATTTGAGTCAGATGATCTTGGTGAATGGAAAGTCAAGGCCTGAGGCCTGGCGCAGACTTAGGGTGTCCTTAGAGGGGTGCTAGCTCACATCCTCATCTTCTCAGAATCTAACAGAACCGCAGACTGA